CCATTAAGCCAAGTTCGTAAACGATATGCACCCATTAAGCCAAGTTCGTAAACAATATGCATCCATTAAGCCAAGTACGTAAAGGATGTGCACCCATTCATTTACCAACGGAACACAAGATTACCCACCTCAACTGGGAAGTTGTGATACCCTATGCTGTTAATATCGCGATATATCGTCGATATATCGGATATCGCTCCTAGAGAAAATATCGGTCCATAAATATCGGTCAAAATATCGTCCCCGATATTATCGGCGATATTTTCCGATTTTTCACGATTTTTAGCGATATTTTGATGCAAATATCGGACCGATATATCGATTTTTTAGGGTTTAAATATTTGGGCTTTTGTTACTTCATGGGACTAGTTTTTTGGGCTTGGTAACTTAAATTAGGTCTGAAATTGATCTGCCTCCACAACGGCCTACTTCTTTCTTTTATATTAGCTCGTTTTTGAACACTTTAGATGATGTGATGTTTTAATTTTGAAACTATATTTCTAAACTCTAATTAATGCATATTATATATATAATTCTAAGAAATATTATGTTAACCGCTATTTTGGACCGATATATCACCTATTTAACCGATATATCGAATATCGGTCCAGACCGATATTTCGTATTCTGACCGATATAACAGCATAGGTGATACCCCTCCACTCCAGAAAAAGATTTACATCTAAAGAAAGAGAGAACTAGTACTTTCCAAGCAATCTAGATCTCTCCCCTGATGATCTCTCTGGATCATCACCAAATATGATGTACCAATTTCAGTCTCGTTTATAGAGAAAAACTACAAGCTAAATGATTTCAATTTTTAATTTGATATAGAAAAATCTGACATAAATCAAAACTTTCCTCAAATCTCTAACTCAACATGTATACGAATCCAGTCATCCACACAAACAGATATACATATCCCGGCCGTTGAATCAAACGAACATTTTCATACACAACGTCGACATATCCTATAACTTGATCGACTAAAAAACGTCAATTTGGCCACGAATTCGGAACTTATCGTGGCAAAATAACGCATCTCGCTCGAATTCATGCGATAATAGTAGAAGGTTCAAGCAGAAACAACCTAATCAAAATATTCACGAAGTAGTAAGCTTACCGCTGATGAAAAGCTTTGGAGCAGTTAGAGTTGAGCTGAATCGAGCCGAAGCAATCTGAGAGGTCATCGTCGAAGATGAAACGTTAAGAATGCGACGAAAAGCTGAGGAAAATGCCATTTCGAGGATTGAAAGCAGTGTAGAGAAGAAAGGGGTTTACTTGATAAACCCTAGTTTTGGAGAAGGCTCTCGAAACCTTTATACCATCGTCTTTTAAAAATTAAAGAAACTTTAGAAATGCTTCATTGTAAAATCGGTAAATTACATGGATTGCCCTATTTTTTTATTTTTTGTCTTTTATTTTTTATTTTAATTATGGTTCGTTCAGTTGTGGTTTTTGTACATTCTGATTAATCCTAAGCGTATTAAGATTGTTTGGTAATTGTTGAATGGTTTGATGGAGAATGATTAAGAGGTTCTCATGATATAATATAAAATGAAATATAATTGTGTGTACGATGAAATTAGGGTTTTTAATGGTTAAAAAAGATTCAAGATACAAAATCATTCAGATGATTTTAGAACCATTAAGAGACAAACTTTTTTTTTTCAAACAAGATTCACCTCTAAACGATTCAGATGTTGCATCTTAATGAAACTATTAAGAGGTAAATAAACCTAAGGAAAATTTTGGATGATTTTGTAGGTCTTAAACCAATAAACTCTGGAAAAATAAAATTCTAAAATCCTAAATTTATATCTGTTTAATCCTTTTTTTGAAATTATCTTATATAAATACAGTCACAAAAAACATATTTCATTCTTATTGAAAATAATTTTTTGGTTTAAAACCATCTTAATAAAGTACATTTTAACGATTTCATTTTTTAATTTTTATTCAACTGTTATATAATATAGAAGTATGAAGTTAAATGTTGATGGTTTGAGAAAGTAATTTATAGATTATCTTATAATTCAACCTCTTATTGAAAAATTATTGACCTATATAACCTTCATCTTTAATCTAATTTAATTTTTTATTATTTAATAGTGATCCAACTTAATAAAAAAATGTTTTATAAACAATTCTTTTTATTTATTTTATTACTTGTACTTAATTTTTATTTACTTTTTACCATAAAAATTATATAAAAAATATTTTTTTTATTAACCTGGATATCCAACTCGCTATGCGAGCCGACTAATCTCAGGGTGACCACCTGTTTTGCAGATAGTCCGGAGTTACTGCATTTGAACCTCCTTGGCCACAAGGGGATTTTTATTTCTCCTTGGATTTAAACTTGGGACCTCCTGGTACTTTTGATTTTTGGAACCAAGCTCAAACCAATCAAGCACCACCCATGTGGTTTTATATGAAAAATATTAAAAACCGTAATTGAAAACAAATAAATGACTTTTCTAAATATTGAAAATAGAATGAAGTGTGATGAGCAAATATACTAATATTGATCTCTGTGAGAAATTGAAAAATAAGAACTTTGTTTTTTTATAAAAAAAATTAATTTATTAAATTATGTCTTCTAATAAAATAAATTTTATATTTAAAAAACTCTAAAATAGACCAATCACCTTTTGACATTAGCATTGGAAAAGAATAAGAAAACCATGGCAATTTGGTTAACCAAGTGATTTGGTTGTTGAAGACTTTATTTATCGGGTAAATTGTTGCATATGATGTTATTTTTGTTGATTAAAATCTTATTTAATAAGTAAATAATAGATAGTTTTGAATTTTACTGGTAAACGTTTACCGAGTAAGTGTTTCGTAAATGAACCCTCCGTTATAACTTCTAAATTAAAAAAAAAATTCATAAAAGATTGAATACAAGTCAATATTGTATCAAGTGTTATTTGTTGGACTAAAAGAAAAAGGAAAACATAAAAGCATGTGCGTTATGCGTTGCCCAACAAAATATGAAGTGGCTTCATGTATGTAAACGGTAAGCGGAGCAAGGGGCTCTTTGTTTGGCTCTTAATGATGACATTAAGAGCTAACCTCTTAATCGGTCAGAGGTTGAGGGTGTTTGGTAAAAAAAATGGCTCTTAATGGTTACATTACCCCTCTTAACCATTTTGCATCTAAGGTTCCACTAAACCATTCAGATTTGTATTTTTCCAACTTTGTCCTCTATACTCTCTCTACCCACTACTTCGTCTCCACTCCCCTGTTCGTTGCCATTTTCCGTCACCGGCGACAACCGGCCGACAAACAGCCCCTATCTACTCTACTCTCTCTACCGTTCCTTTCCATTTTCCGTCGCCTTCACCAGAATCTCTCTGTTTTGACCATCACCGTCTTCATCATCTCTGGATCTCTTGAACCCGTCGCCTTCGTCCCCTTCCCCAGGTCGGCCGGTTTTCGCCGGTGACCTCCATCGTCTCCATCGCCGGTGACCTCCGTCGTCTCCATCGCCGCTCGCATCAGGTCTCTCTATTTTTGACAGCCCCTTAACAGTAGCTTAATAGTAATTAGTATGCCCCTTGTTTTTCTTCTACGAAACTGGAGACGAAGATGGAAGGCTGAAAGGGGGAAGAACTGGCTATCCCAAGGGAATTTTGACTCACAAAAACAATTGAAGATTTTGACCCACAAAAACAATTAAAAGACATACAGGAGAAATATGGTTTTGTAATTGCTTATGAAAAAATAATGTTATGTTGGTTTGGATTAATATGAAAAATCTTGTTTTGAACTAGTATCGCTATGTTTGTTTGGATTAATATGAAATACGTGTTTTTGTTGAATCGAATTCGAATAATGGGTTTTTGTTAGATGAGGGTTAAAATGGTAATTTATTGTCATTCAAAGAACAGTTACCAAACAACATTATTTCATTCAGCACTTAAMCATTCTGACCCTCTTAACCATTCTGACCTCTTAACTATTCTGCACTAAATCATTCAGCAACTGCCAAACAGCCCCTAATAATTTTCATGTGAATCAAATGTATTTTAAGTATTTGGTTTCATTTTTATTTCTTGTTTTTTTTTATTAACCTGGATATCTAACCTGTTATGTGAGCCGACTAATTCCAAAACAACTACCTGTAGACTATAGAGTGTGGAAAAGTAAGATTTTTAGGAGTGTGGTGTAATTGGATGGAAGGGGTTGATTTTAGATATTAGTATGTGTTGGTGCTTATATATATACAGGGTCTTTTTTTTTTAGAATCCATGAATTTGTGATAATCTTGAAAAACTAACGCAGTATGTGCTATTTATATGATTTTTTCATTTGAGACTATGACCTAGAGTATAGATTAACATATATTTGTTTCACAATGTGTTTATATCACATGTACTTAATTCATGATGTAAACGTTTTTTTGCATGTTTGTGAAACAAAAAATACACATACAAAATTTCGTATTGTAAACCGAATACATATGAAACAAACAAATTGTGAAACATTTATGTGTTGATCAATACATTAAATACTATACTTAAAAAAAATAATGTGAAACAAACCTTAAGAAAGAAGTTTCAATGGATCTCAAAAACTTTGAAGTTCTCAAATGATTAAGCTATTTTATATACACACTTGCATAATTACAGGTAATTGTAATTTATATTTTATTCAAATATAAATTTTATACATATATGATTACAGAGGATCATAATATCAATTTTTTAAACATAAGTTTTATATTATTAACGAAAAATTACATTAATTTTTAATTCCCAATTTATATTAAATTTTACATCTCATTGCATTACACCGATACACAACTAATATATACCATTCATATTATCCGTGTTTACAACTATTGGATATGTATACACGAGCACGTTAAATATGATCAACATGTATTAATTATGTCAGTGGTAAAATCAATAAAGATTTTTAACAAATAATTTCATATAATCCATCTTACGTTTTTGTTATGCCATATATATTATTGGTTTTCTATTTTCTTTTTCAATATATGAATTGCAGATGCATTCATAATCAACTAATAATAAGTTCACAAGTTCTTTACAAGCTTAGACTCAACAAGTAAAAACATTGTATGGATATAATTTTCATGTGAATATACTCGTGAATGAAATTTTAAATACCGGATTAAAATACTGAAAACATGTACCTGATATAACTGTCAAATTAAATAGAATAAAAGACTTTTTATATAGTCTATTTAATTAAAAAATTAATTATATTTAATTCAGATTTTTAAATGATATAAATATGTGGATTTTTAAAACTTAATCGTTCCATGGATTCGAACACTCGGAGGTAAACTATACCGGTTTTCAAGACCAGGGCTTTCAACCACTCAGTCAAAAGACAATTTTATTTTTGTAACACCCTAAAAATTTATGATTCGTAAAATAAATAAATATTAAGGGTTAAAATTTAAAAAGTAAACGACATACGGGATTAAAGTGTCAATACTCGAAAAATATGATTTTATTGCAATAAATAAAATCAATATAAAAAGAAAGTGAAACATTTTGTATTTAATTGATTTGGGATTAAAATGCAGAAAGAAAAACAAAAGGGACTAGTTCTACCAAAAATAAAAAACTAATTCGGAAATGATTGAAATTTGGGAAATCATTCCCCAAATTCACGTTTTTCCTATTCTAGAGAGCGTTTGACGATCTATAAATTGGAGTTTTTGCCAGAAATTTTGTGGAGACATTCCTAAGGTTGTAACAAAGTAAACATCTTTGGAATTTCGAGATTTCATTAAGAAACGAGAGAGATATCGAGTTTGAAGCGGCATAGGGTCATTCAGCACAAAAACGGTGATTGCAGGTAAAATACTCAACCAAAATTGATGTATAATATATGGTTGGCTTCGTTTTTTAATTACCTTTCTATTGGTACAAGTCTCGTGGGCTATGGTGGCTTGTACGTCGAGCGGTTTAGGCTAGAAGCTGTTGTGGCGGCGGCTCGACGAGATTCAGATACAAAAACTCAAAATACGAGTTTAATATTGAACTGTAGGGGCTGTAAATTTGGATACGAGTTGGGATTATTATTATGTAGAAGATTTTATAAAAAGTTTGGTGAAAAACGATCAAAAAAAATATATCAAACAAAGATCGTTTACGATAGCCGCACCAAGGGTGCGACCGGGTTGGGCCGGGCGTCGAGTTGAGTCGGCCGACACTAGACCAGGTTTAGGCCATGGCCGACTTATTTCGGTCGAGTTCGGTTAGACTCGAGTTGTTTTGATAAAATCGGTATTTGTTAAAAAGAGATTTGGGACTCGTTTATTTATTGGATTAATCGAAATAAATCGGGATGTTTCGATTAAGTTGATTAAGATTTAGACATCAATTGTAAAGGTTATTAATTAATTGGATTTTCATATTTAAATTATTAGAAATAATTTATTAACTTAATTCGGGAGTTGAGACTAGATAATGATGGGATCGGACGTTTTTATAACGATAATCGTATATAATTAAATGTTGGGTTTAATACGTCGTAAATTTATTTTGGATGTGAAAAAGAATTCGATTGGGGAGGGGGGTATATGGCGACGAGGTATGTTTGGAGTTGACCCTTTGACCATTCCTACCCCAAAGTCGACCTATTTGACTTTCGGATTGATTTTTTGGGGAAATGTCAATACTCTAACTACTGAAATATAATTACATGTTATAGGATACTACCCAAAGATGAGGTTTAGCCAAACGAAGCTATCTAGGTGAGTCTTCATGAGACTTTAACTGGGATGCATGCTTATGTACAAATTATTTGAGCATTACGATATTTTTATGTACATGTTTATGGGTTTTTATTACATGTATATGAATTATTATTGTGGGTTGCATGCTATTTGTTTACGTGTTTTTAAACATTAATTAGCATGTTAAAGACGGGGTAATATTTTTGTCGGGTATGGGAAGGGGTCAAAAGTCATGAGGGATGACACATCCTAGGGATGGGTGACCGGACAAGGGATAGCCGTGTAACCCAGGGAAGTGCCGATGACGGTAAGACCTTAACCCGACTGAAAACTAAGAGATCTCATTATTATTTAAAAAGAGTTGAAACAAATGTGCATATTATTTTATTTGGGACATTGTTTGTTTTATGCATGATGAGGTGTGTATGATTGTGCACAAAAACCATGAACTCACCAAGCTTTATAAAGCTGACTATTAGTATGCATCTCAGGTGCAAGAAGTTCAAGGGTGGACAAGAGCGAGGTTCTCTCCTAGATAATTATATTATTGTTATATTTCGGATGTTTAGGTTTATGCTTAAACTCATTTTGTAATGTAACCCGGTATGGGACGGGTTAGCGTTGAGCTATTAATTTTAATTGAATTTGAAAGACTTCCGCTGTAGTATGACTGTATTAGCCGCTATATTTTGAGGTTATTTATTGTTACTTAATGAGAATTACGTTACACAACTCATGGTGAAAATGAAGGTATTACAATTTTATTCCTCCGAATAGAACATGGCCATATGAGTGGCATATCTTAACCAAACCCTTCGCATGGGCTCGACGCACATTTTTATGGTCTGGAGAGGCTTACTTATCTTATAGTTTAGCGGCTATATCTGTATTTGGTTTCATTGCTTGTTGCCCCGTTGTCTCCGATAAGGACCCGGTGAAATTGAATTCTCGTGAAGATGCGGATCGAAAGGTAACCTATGAGACCGGGGAGTTATGCTTTTTCTTCCAAAGATAATACGAACTCCCTTTGTTTGGTTAAAAAGGATGTAAAATATAAATAATATAAAAATTGAAATATTTTATAAATATTATTAATTTTTAAATAATGCTTTTAATAATTATGTTATTGAAAATTTAAATTTGTACAATATACATAGATAGGTTATTAATTACTAGTTGTGTACCCGGGTAATACGGTGAGAGCCGTGAATTTTAACGATTTTAAAGTTTTACTGGTTTTATTAGAGAAAATTTAACGATGATATAAGTTACAATTGGTCCTTACACATTAATACAATTTAAATAAATAAGAGTTATGGTTCCAATTCTAGTTTATCGATAAAAAAAATTATATGACAGTTTAAAATCCAATATATTTAAAATCCAACATATTTAAACGACTCCATAAATATGTTCGATTTACACCAAGAACAAAGAATCAAGAGATCGAGAGCGAGAGTTATAAAGCAATTGAATGAGAGATGAATGAGAAAACTTTTAATAACTAGTGAATATAAATTTGAATCTCACATTGAGGGATGAATAGAAGACATAGATGTATGAGAGAGTGAATGCATGAGTGAAATGTGTAAAAAATATATTGGAAACATAAAAAAAAATGTAATAATGTGCATTAGTAACTTGTACTATATGTTATTTTAATTGTAGATTAAAATTTTTTAAGATTGAATGCATAAAATAATAGTACTTAATGTATTATAAGTTGTTTTAAGACTTTGTACATAAATATATAGTATTTTTTGTATTAAAAATTGTTTTTAAGACTTTTAATAAATCTGATTTATAAGCTAGTATAATTTTTATCCAAATAAAATTTATAGATTTTAGTTTAAAAAAAATGACATTAATGTTTAACGATACGGTCAAAGTAATCAATTAATCGTTTGATGAATAATCTCCGTGATTAATTGTTTCTAACAACGGTCATATATGGAAACGGGAACTAATTTTTAGTAAAGATACGGAACGATATCTTGCGGGGATGGATAACGGTAATCCCACCAGATAAGAAACACCCTCTTCCCCATTCGACTCATCATCCGTCAAACTCCCATGGCGCTGCTGCAATCAGCACCTTCTACTACTGGTGAATCGCCATTGGCTCTCATCCAGAATCCATTCATTTTCCCCTCCACATCCTTCAAGTTACGCCCTATTTCTAGTAACTCTTCTTCTGCACTCAAGACCAAGCCCAACAACCATCGTCTCCGCATTCGTGCATCGGCTACTCTTGAATCCAACAATGGCGCCGCCACCGTCTCCGTCGGCCTTGAGAATTCCCCTTCCACCGCCAATATCACCGGTATTACTTATGGTAGACAGTATTTCCCTCTCGCTGGAGTTGTTGGACAGGTAGGTCTTTTCGTCTATATGCATTTATGTGCGTTTTTGCTGATCGATGATCACTTACCCCTTCATGATTGCTTGTATTTGTTTATAAATTACATTGTTATCCAATGCATCGAACAATAACTCAGACGTGACGGAGGAACTAGCAATGATGCCTACTCAATCAGTAATAAATTGAAAACTGCAATACCAACTGACTATTATCTGCAAACACATTTAGCACCTAGATTGTTAGTTACTTATCTGTTAAGTTGACAGTGAATTCAAATATGAAATACATCAATCAATCTGTGTAATGAATTGACACGCCTTGGCTAGTGCAACGTCCATATAGGTTACAAATATGTCAATCTAACAGGATGCTATTAAAACTGCTCTTTTACTTGGAGCTATTGACCGCGAGATTGGAGGGATTGCAATCTGTGGCAAAAGAGGAACGGCGAAAACTGTTATGGCACGCGGGTTGCATGCAATTCTGCCTCCTATTGATGTAGTTGTTGGTTCAACTTCGAATGCTGATCCAGCCTGCCCAGAAGAGTAAGGTTACCAAATCTCAACAATATTTATGTTAACTTTTAATACATTTCCTGCTTACATGATACTCAACATTTAAAGAATTATTGGTGTTACAGATCTCGACCAAGTTTATGTCCTTTTATTAAGTTACTGCTGTTCTCATATTCAAAAGTTGTGCTCCTCTGTTCTACAAGAAATTCGTTATTTCATTTTTTGGGGGTTACAACAAGAAGTTCAATGTTTCCTTTCTCAAACACTAGATGCTTGTCATCACTCATTAATGGCTATTTTTTTTTCAAGATTTTAATGAAGGATAGTATTCAGATCAAATTTGTGAATGTATGATCAAGCAGAAACCTGAAAAAAAGTTGTTTGATTGCTGGAAGTTGTTCATTGTAGAATACTTCATTCTATCAGGAAATACATTTACATTTTACAAATCATATAAAAACAAAATAAGGAAGTAAGTTGGCACTCACATATGCTTCTACATTTGTAACTTTAGAAGTGTGGTTGAATGAGAGATGCAGGACTACCCTTGGTTAAACATTAAAAGTGTAGTCAATGGTAATCAGTTTGCAGACATGAAAGTTGATAGACAAATTTATTGATCAGAGTACTCTGTTGTTGTAATTAGTTGGCTGACAATAAAAGTTTGTTTTATATATAATACTTGAAGGTGGGAAGATGGACTTGCGGAAAGGGTGGAATATGACTCTGCTGGTAATGTCAAGACCCAAGTAGTCAGATCACCATTTGTGCAGGTAGTGTCAGTGGCGAAACCTTGTGATACTTTAGCACTATCATATCCATATATTATCCTAATTGCTTTCTTTCTGCAGATTCCACTCGGTGTTACAGAAGATCGACTAATTGGATCAGTTGATGTTGAGGAGTCTGTCAAGAATGGAACCACTGTATTCCAGCCAGGTCTTCTGGCTGAAGCACATAGAGGAGTTCTTTATGTTGATGAAATCAACTTACTGGATGAGGGTATAAGTAATTTGCTACTTAATGTGTTGACGGATGGTGTTAATATTGTTGAAAGGGAAGGAATCAGCTTTCGTCACCCATGCAAGCCGCTGTTAATCGCTACTTATAATCCGGAAGAGGGTGCTGTACGTGAACATTTACTGGACCGAATTGCAATCAATTTAAGGTAGACTTTCTTATGCTTATTTACAAAGAAGGTACATAAAACTACTCGCACATAATTTATGTATCTCATAAGTCATAAGTGCATATCTTTCATATTATAGCCAGGTCAAATTAGACGAACTGACTTATTGGCCGTCTAGATTTTGCACCTACAATGAAATCCGATTTTGGCTGTACTAACTTCTTGCGTATGTTATATTACTTACAGGTGTCTTTGGCCTTCCTATGTTTCTAGTAATGAAATCTTTATTCTGCAGTGCAGATCTTCCAATGAGTTTTGAGGATCGTGTTGCTGCTGTAGGGATTGCAACACAGTTTCAAGAACAAAGTAATGAGGTTTTTAAAATGATGGAGGAAGAAACAGACTCTGCAAAGACTCAGGTAATCATTGCTTGTATGTGCATGTTCAATAGTTTTTTTATGCTCGATGGTTGCTGTTAAATCAAGCAGAAACCAACAACGTTCATTGTTTCATGATAGATAGCCAACAGAGTATATGTTTCTGAAGCTAAATTCTGTTCACCTCTTTTTGTTGGAGGTTTCATCATTTCTTGTTTGCTGATTCATGAACTGTGGCACTGTCACAGACATCTGGGCCATAACAAATTCATGTGGTCATCATTATCCAGACATGACTAGCTTCTTAAGAGGGAGGGGGGGGGGTGCATGGCTTAGTATGTGCAACATGTTTAATTAGTTGTCTAGTTGCCTAGACACAATAAGATGTACTCATCAAAGCAGGGTGGAAATTATAAATGAATAAATTCTTGGCTAAGTATAGAAACATTCTGCCTGCTGTTTTCGTACAGATTATATTAGCAAGGGAATATTTGAAGGATGTAAGCATTAGCAGAGAGCAGCTGAAGTACCTGGTAATGGAAGCTCTCCGTGGTGGCTGCCAGGTTAACCCTGCGTAACTCTTTGCATTAAATATCATATGCATAGAACTAGGGATTTGAGAATCACTTCTTAAATAAAAAAGGATCTCTTCATACCTAAGACGCTAGATAACTCAACAAAGAAGGACATATTCTGAAACATATTTGCTCAAGATGGATAATAAGTGAAGCAGTATTTGCACAAACACACGTCTCCATTGTGGGAAAAACAAGTAAGAGAAAAAACTGAATGAAGATAACCAAAACAAACTATTAGTGCTTGCAGTTTCATCACCCTTATGAACATCTGTTTGTAAAGTCCTGATTTAATAGATCTTTTAACTGATTGATGGGTTTGTATGCTGTAATGTGAGCCCATTCCCAGAGCTATACAATACACTGCATTACAATTTACAACCTTTTGTATTACATCTGGAAGAATACAATCAGGTTGGTGGTTTTTCAGTTTTATGACATGAATTAAAGGATTTAGTTAAGCTCGTTCCATACCTCTACATCACAAGTGAAAATCCCTTTTGAGTTTCTGAGGGCCGTCCTTACAGGGACACCGGGCTGAATTATATGCTGCACGTGTTGCCAAATGTTTGGCTGCTCTGGAAGGTCGTGAAAAGGTCAATGTGGATGACCTGAAGAAATCTGTAAGTATATTTTTTCTTCCCAGGAAATTGTTTTTCAGATGTCGTTTTCCACCTTTTGATGCTTTCTGTATTAGGCCCAACAGCACTATTTGATACACATGTACAAGATCTACTCAGTGCATTGGAATAAAAACAAGAAGATTTCCCTCTAATGATTGAACTGTAGTGTTTCTGTTGTGCAAAAGATAATTTGTAATTTGTTGACTTAATTGGACAACTTAAAAGTAGTAATACATGTTTTATTACTACAAATTAATACTAAAAGAATTTCCACTGACGATCTCATATTCATGTAATAGCTCATGAAATGGAATATCAACCGAGTTATTACATCACATTTCCTGCTTAAATTCTAAAAACGTGTTCTGAATTCCAATTTGAATTATAAGGTTTTTTCATAGGCAAATCATTTGTCTTTTTGCTCTCTTTTTATCTCCCTATGTTCATGTTAACTGAAATTTAGCTTTCCAGTTTTTATAAAAATATTTAAATAATGCAGCTAGTTGTTATAATATTAGAAGCATATAGAACCACTTTCAAAAAAGACATTGTTTTCCTGTTCTGTCCTCCCTAATGCAGACACTCCATTTGCTCCAAATCTGAATCTTTTTTTTTTTGTTAGTTTTCTTGTAATTTCTAATGCAATAGTTGAGATAGAACTTGTATTTTATTTGGTTGTGGTTATTTTTTCTTCATAGATCTCTCTCTCTCTCTTATCTAAAGCAACAATTCTTTTTTGGGTAGATCATGTAAATTTAGAGTAGTTACCATATTGTCATTTAGAAGCTGAAAATTATGACCTTGGCATATGTAGCGGAACTGAATTGCCTTTTATATTATCTTTTTGGAGTTGAGTTTATGTGCTCCAGAATGCAATAATAATAGGATTTATTACAGTAGAAGATACTTTATTCATCTTTCAGTAAGTTAAAAAAACTAAAAGTTATCTGTCGCATTCTTCCAACATGAATAATATGATTTTTCTTATTTGTGAATTCATGATTTAGCTATGAATAATATGATTCTTGCGAGTGGTTTAAGTCAAGGTGGCAGTTGTAACAAACAATTAATGCTGAATGGCAATTTTATTTCGATTATTGAGTTTTGTGAAGTTGCTAGTGCTATTAACCAGGATAATTTTCTTTCTTTTAGCTCAATTTAGCATTGCACCTTCAAGTTGCTTCATTATATTAAGTGAAATGCCATGCTTTCTACCTATTGGGATGTAATGCTACAGGGTTTATCATGTAAACTTGAACAACTCAAAATAACTCAAGCAAAAGAAAATAAACATAGTCCATAACCTGCACGGGTTATTTCACTAGTACCAATTAAAGAGTGCAAATGCTAAAGATGTGTGGCATATGGTATTTTTGCACTCAATATGGGATATAGTGAGCATTTCCATTTATCAATTGCTTTTGTTATATCTTCTGAAAATGGACTATTTACCTGGTGTGTGACATCTATGAGTTTGGTCACCCGTTTTTGAAAAGTTCAATTGTACCAACTATATGGACCATGATTCCCCAGCCATAGAAGGTTCACCATGCCACTTTCTGGTATGTAATGACAGGTAGAACTTGTCATTCTTCCTCGTTCAATGCTTAATGAGACCCCTCCAGAACAACAACAGCAGCAGCCTCCACCCCCTCCTCCCCCTCCCCAAAGTCAGGAATCTGAGAACCAGAATGAAGAAGAAGAGAAAGAGGTTTGTCAGCAGTTCTTTTTCTTATTACCCTAGAAAATTGTTGCCAATTTGTGCATGCTAATGAAAGGAGCTTTATTGTATAAACAGGATGAAGATAATGAAGATAATGAAGATGATGAAAATGACGAGGAGAATGAACAGCAACAGGACCAACTACCTGATGAATTTATCTTTGATGCAGAAGGGGGTCTGGTGGACGAGAAACTTCTCTTCTTCGCACAACAAGCACAAAGACGCAAAGGGAAAGCCGGGAGAGCAAAAAATGTCATTTTCTCAGAGGACAGAGGTCGATATATTAAACCAATGCTTCCCAAGGTTCGCAATAACAGCTCCCTTTCTTCTCTTATTGCTAAAAGAATATGGACAACCCAGGGGTGGACCTACATGGTCCGTTGGGTATGCGCGTGCATAACCTGAAAATATTTTTTTGTAGTGTTTTATAGTAAAAAGAACATTGTTATGCTAGTGCATCTCCTAAAAAAATTGATAGGGAATACCCTGGTTGGGATACTGGATCCACCATGGGACAAAGTAAAGATCTTGCAATTAGAAATTTATATATTTCTAGTTTTGTGACTAATGTTGTTTGACTTATTCCTTTTCACCAAATCCGCTGGCTTTTAAACAGGGTCCAGTAAAACGATTAGCTGTCGATGCAACTTTACGAGCAGCTGCACCATATCAGAAATTGCGGAGGGAAAAGGACACACAAAAGATTAGAAAAGTTTTTGTAGAGAAAACAGACATGAGAGCTAAGAGAATGGCTAGGAAAGCAGGAGCATTAGTAAGTACCTCAGTGATTTCAGTCTTGTATGCTTACTGTTTGCCTCAAGTTTGTTTCTGATCAATGTATTCCATACCTTAAACTTAGTATTTTTTTTAATTAAACTTACCAAGATGATCTGTTGGACCAACCTTTGGAACATTCATCAGATGGAGCACTTCCCACACTGAAAGCAGAAGCATTATTTTTGGTCTTGTAATCTGGAGATTGGACTGAATTTGAAAATGATCTTGATATTTAGAGAGTTAAACAATTAATAAATGTGTTTTTCTTGTAAACCCTGGAATCGGAAGGTATTTCTTCCCTTTTAAAGATTTTTGTATGGAAGAAGCCCAGCTCATACATGTGAATATTGATAATGGAAGGGATAAAACTCGAAACTTTGACCTTACACAAAATAGCATATCTCTTTATGTTTAGGCTATCACCTTGGTCATATCTTTTATCGTATGTTCCCATTTACATGTTACAGGTTATATTTGTGGTTGATGCTAGTGGAAGCATGGCATTAAATAGAATGCAGAATGCCAAAGGTGCAGCACTTAAACTATTAGCAGAGAGCTATACAAGCAGAGATCAGGTAATGTGATTTATTAACAAAGCCTTTTTATCTTGAGCTAGTTGCCAGAGGGTCAAAACTGAACATGAATGTATCAGATAAACAATTTTCTTACCATATTGTGAAACAACTGTTAAGTTACCCCCATTTTTTCACTTTTGGAAGTGTATGGATGTTACGAGTCCACATCCACAGTTCATAATTACTCATGTAGATATGAACTCCATTGGGAAATTTCAGTCGACATTGTGCAACAGTTGAGCTATAGATGTAGTTTAGGTTGCTGATTTCCCTGCTTCTAGGTTGTCTATATGAGCTTGCTTTTGCACCCTTCTTTTATGTGTTACTCTTATCTGAATTTCGTCTTTCTACTCACTAATAGGTTGCCATTATTCCTTTTCGTGGAGATGCTGCAGAAGTTCTTTTGCCCCCTTCTAGATCGATTTCTATGGCTAGGAAACGACTAGAGAGGCTTCCATGTGGTGGAGGCTCTCCCCTTGCTCATGGACTTACCACGGTATGAACCAAAATTAACAAATTAAATTCTAGTGCGATGGCATAACAAAAGATAATGAATCAAGTAAGCAAGCACAGGTAAGGGAGCATAAATTTTGTTAACATAATGGAACGTAAATGTGTACTAATACTAAAAGTTGTTTTCAGAGTTTTTTCTTTTGATTTTGTTCAGATGTGTTGTTTTAGCTAATGGCATGATTGATTGGATCTGTTCAGGCTGTTAGGGTTGGAATGAATGCAGAGAAGAGTGGAGACGTTGGACGTATAATGATTGTAGCAATAACTGATGGTAGGGCGAACATTTCACTCAAAAGATCCAATGATCCTGAAATGGCTTCAGATGCACCCAGGCCTTCTTCTCAAGAGTTGAAGGTAGGCTGCTTCCTGAAACTTGGATCATTTCACCAGTTAGGTTAATCCCGAAAATAATTTGGCTATATCCCTTTCTACCATCACTGTTAGAGCATCTCCAACAGAAAAGTCGAAATTTTCAAAGAAATTTATATTCATCTCCAACTTTTCCATTTTGCGGATTACAATATGAATTACATTACCAAAATATTCAATACCCTTCATAAAATATTATTTCTCTTTCCTATACATTTGATTTCTAAGATTCTCATTGGTAGGAAGAATAAAAAAAAAATCTCTTTCACTGGTAATAATTTTTGGAGAGTTTTCCAAATTTAGAGAATTTCACCCTCTCTCCTACTTTCTCCATTTTGGAGAAGGTTTTGGGGAATCTGTTAGAAGCAAAAATTCCTAAAATCTTCATTTTGGAGAATCTATTGGAGATGCTCTTATCCATCTAATGAATCCATCTTCGTTTCTCACCCCATAGTCACATCTTTGTTTCTCTTTGCATCATGCAACATATAAATGAGACTTGAAAATTTGAAATATTAAATAACTAAAACGAATAAAACCTTAGTATGCGATGTTTGTCCAGAATCATCATCAATCCGGAAGGACATTTTGGTGACTTGCCCATAGTTACATCTTTGTTTCCCTTTATAGTTTATACCATATAAACAGAACCGACAGGAAATGTTAAACAACAAAAACAAGCAAACTCAAGTGTGCGAGGTTTGCCCAATTTCGTCGGCAATCCAGAAGTACACGTTACTGACTACTAAGAACCAAAGTGGAAGAAAACACTGAATCCGCTTTCCTTTTGTATTTAAAATTTCAAAAAGAAATTAGAACCTGGTTCTTTATAGTTCTCAAAACTAATTTCTTTTTCCATTTTGGATTGTACTCGAAAGAAACCGGAAGAACTTCACAATGGAAGCAGTGTCTGTTGTTGATGCATGAATTCTGTCTAGAATTTTTCACTTCTTTCCAAGTCAGCTGGGCTTCATGTAAGCATAATGTTGCAAGTTGGAAAAATTGTCTCCAGAACAATGCTTTTGCTTTTGTTCAATACATAATGACTTAAAACTAATTTTGGTTGGTTATCCTGATCAGTTCATCGATGGTCGACAAGAATAATGGTCACAATGATCCTACATGCATTTTTTGTATATCTCACCAGTGGATTCAAAAAACCTTTGTGAATTGACTCGGGAAAACCAAATTCGGATACAATTGAAGATGTGATACTAAATGATTACATGTTAGAGAAAGAAATAAGAACAATTCCACAGATAGGCTTATGTGAAAAAGGGTAAAGAAGCCTTTTCACCAATCCTTTTATGATTCACCCATTATGCTTTGTTATATAAGAAAATGCGAAGCATATATTGGATACTGCCTCATTCTGTTGTGCAATTTTCAAAGGATGAGATACTTGAAGTGGCTGGTAAAATTTTCAAAGCGGGAATGTCTCTCCTCGTCATTGACACAGAAAATAAGTTTGTTTCAACTGGTTTTGCCAAAGAGATTGCTCGAGTCGCCCAAGGTATGACCCAACCCACCAAAATGGTGCCTAAACCAGTTCCGCTCTTTTGACTGATTTTTTGTGTTACTACTTTTGCAGGAAAATACTATTACCTGCCTAATGCTTCAGACTCTGTTATCTCTGCTGCAACAAAGGATGCTTTAACAACTCTAAAGAACTCCTGAATTGCAACAACACAACCAAATTGTAACGTTTCTGCTGTGGTATTTGTTTCCACTAAAAGTGAGACACAAAATGGCTTCACCGTCATCACACATTATTTTTGCGAGCCGTATTTATGTGCTGACTTCTGGTATATATCTGAATACGAAATGATTTGGGGTTCAAACTTCAAAGATTTTCACTTTTGTGGTAGGAACTAGGAAGGGTTTGGGTGCATTTACATGTGTGCGTATGTACTAATGCTTTTGGGTCGAAAAGGAGAGGGAAACGCTTCAAATATCAGGCTTCTTTTATACACACTTTCATTTTTGCATACTTACTATCATATATATATACACACACACTATGTATATGTATATATACATACACACACACACACACACACACTCATACGTGCATATACATCACATGCACACACATATATAAGTGTGTTCATAATATAAACTTGTATACATAGGGTTGGGTTTCCGTGAGACCATCTTGTTTTCGTGAGACCCGTGAGACCACAAAATAATATTGAAACTTCACAAAAGAACATTGTGAAGGTACAAAAAACACCGAACTGAACAAGGAAAAACACTGTGGAAGTTTAATCTCACGGTCTCACGAAAACATGTTGGTCTAACATGATCCCAAGTCTGTATAGATAATACATACATGTATACCAACAACTGATGCATCTGGTAACTCATCTAGAGATGCAATTCATCTCTACCAACAAAAAATGAGCATATTTAAGGCCCATTTAGCGAACACTTGTCAGGTAAGTGCTTACTGGGTAAATTACCTTACCCCGTGAGTATAGGAAGGACCGAGAATCTTACCCGGTAAGAGGGAAGGCAAGGATTGAGAAGTCTTATCCGGTAAGTGAGCATGGTGACTCTTACCTGACGAACTCTTACCCGGTAAACGTTTATTAGATGATAAGTGCTTACCATCAATCCATTTTTAATGGCCAGAAATGTTAGCCGATAAGATAAATGAGAGTGGTTGACTCTTGCCTGTAAGCACCTACTCATCCGGTAAGGCGTTAGGTAAAAGGTTAGTGATGATGAGAGCACTTGTATCGAATTCGGTTATTATAAGATGAACAATTTTTCTAACCAGCAGAAATAGGTTCTCATAACTAAACCGTACAACAATGCAAACATGGTTGCTGTTTATCAAGTACTCAATCAGCAGAAATAGGTTCTTAGTAATAATAAGATGTGGATTATAAGACATTCTCGATGAACTCGATCATATGAGAATTGGTTCCTAATTACTAAACCAATCAGAATGCAAATGTATCTGATGTTTATCAAACTCTCAATCAGCAAAAGAGGTTGTAGATCTTTAAACAAATAAAATATGAACTTGTTTGATGTTTACAAGGGGATCAATCAGCCGAGATAAGTTCTTAAATCTCCAAGAACATCTCCATGTTTACAATCGAACATCAAACTAAAAGCAATCCACGAACCCTAATAGGTCATGAATTCCTAACCGATTTCATGAAAGAAGTAAAGCAAGCACTGTTTTGAATTCAGAAAGAAGATTTTGTATTCAAATTCATCTAAATCAGAATATTACAGAACCGCCTCAGCAGTGTTTAGAAATTCTCGAAATAAGAAGCCCTAAAAATTGGTCGGACAATAATAACGTGCTAATTCGATGAACTCACTTAAGATCTTTGGCAGTAACTCCATACTTTTCCTGAAGCTTAGTAATCTCCTCTTCTTTCTTCTTCTGGTCAAATTTCTTGCTCATCTTCGCCTGTTGATAATACAACACAATCAAGTACCGATTCGCAACGTTAAAACCAGAAAGGTGATCGACTGCTGTTTTGGCATCATAAATGTCTTCGTAGACTACAAAGGCAGTGCCTCGCGTATCCTTGTTGGTTCCGATACGTATCTGGCGGATTGCACCATATTTTCCAAAAATATCGTACATCTCTTCGGAGGTGATGTTGAATGGCAAGTTGCGTACGTAGAGGACCCTGTTTACTTCTGGTGGGAGCCTTGTGTTTCCCTTTCTCAAGCTGATTGTCGCCATTGATGTTGGTTGGTTTGCGAGGCTGAGATAGTCAGGGTTTTCAGAAAAAATGATTTGGGGTTTTGATCGAGCAAATGTGGTTGAAACTGCAAAAAGTCTAAAATAGCCTCTCCATTTCAGGACCCGAGTCGCAAACTTGGTTTTTGTTTCTTGATTTTTAAATTATCGAAGTTTAGGGCCGTAAACAAACCGAACGTTCAACGAACCGTTCGTCGGAAAGTTCGTTTATTTAATAAATGAACGAAAATGAACAATTTTTTTTGTTTGTTTAATTAAACGAACGAACATGAACAAAAGTCTTGTTCGCTCATTTATGTTCGTGAACGTTCGTTTATATTCGTTCATTTATGTTCGTTTATATACTAAATTTAATATATAATCTTTTGTTTATTTACTTTCAATTCAAATAATATTTATCTATGTTCGTTTAACTCGTTCGTTTATGTTTGTTTAGCCCGTTCGTTTATGTTCGTTCGTTTAGCATGTTAATGAACGAACATAAACGAACACGAACACGAACACACCTGATTTCTAAACGAACGAACACGAACACAAATATTTTCGTTTGTTTACCGTTTGTGTTCGTTTATTTGTTCGGTTAAGTTAAACGAACGAAAATGAACAAGCCTATGTTCGTGTTCGTTCGGTTCGTTTACAGCTTTACTGAAGTTCAGACATTGTTTGGTAAAGTGTAAATTGCATTAAAAAGCAGCGTATTTTAATTTAATTCTTATTTTATGTAACGTATTTTTAAAATTTTGATTTGATACTTAAGATGTAAAGTTTTAAATATTTAAATACCCAAGTAACTGGTTAACTAATTTTAGATTAAAAAAAAGACTAATTTTAGATTAAAAAATTATTGTCAACAAATAATACTGAGTTGAATATCACATTACTCGGCACTTCAGCATGGTAACCGGTTAATACTTCAACCGTTACCCGAGTACTTAAATGTTTAAGACATTACATCTTAGGTAACAAAATGAAAGTTTTGAAAATGAATCAAGTAAAAATATGTTATTTTTCCATGCAATTTGTCTTATGATAAAAATAAACTAACTTATAAGTTAATATTATTTTCTGGATATATATTTAAATGTACATAAACTATCTTATATACTATTAATTATAAATAAATATTAA